AAAATGGATACCACAAGACTGTCCCGTGTTTGATGTCATCTGTTGTTGCTATTAATTTCATTATTTCCTGTAGTGAAAATTTTCAGTTCTTTTTAAATTATTCTTATAATCTATTTGTTCTATCTGATTCTTGAATTATTTAGTAAATTTATGTTCTGTTGGAAAAATAAAATAAAAAATCCATTCCCCCCCACAAGTCTCTCTCTCTCTGGTACATTTATTTGTGATCGGTCATTGAGACTTTCACGTGCCACACCACGCGCGTACGTCACGCCATCTTCGAGCAAACATTGTGAATGGTGCTCTATAAAAAGCACAGGAATTCTTTACTGCCAGCACGACGTCCTTGGTTAAGAAACATTACAAAGCCATGGTATATTTTGAACCGTAAGTCACATTACATTTAATATACTAGAGCATGGTGTGGCCAGACCCTGCACTGCAAACCCTAGTTCATATTACTAATCACATGCCAGATGACGTTTGGAAATGACAGTTTCCATCATACGCCGTCAAATGCGTACCTTATATTGATTGCGTGTGTGTGTGTTCAGTTTTGTATACCCCTGTCAATTAAATTACGTCGTTTTGGAAGAGTTAAAGGAAATAAAAATATATTTTTTGGCAGCGTTAATTAGAATTCGGTTTCAGATATTTCTGTGATCCGGATGCAGACGATATTAATTAAATGAATTACTTTACCGCGAATAGCAATGCGTCTTCATCGTTAACTAATCAATTAATTTTAAGTCCGCAGTGTAAAACCGATATCGTATATTTATTTATTCATTTTTGTTTCACTGACGTAAAATAAACCCAAACTTTGATGTTAAGTTAGGTCATATTTAGCTGGTCAGTTCAAAAATTGGTTTAACCCAACTCAAAATTAAAGTGACTTAAATAATAGGCTTGCGGGTGTGACAAATGAAACCTCACTAACACATGTAAAAGATTAATAATATTTGTTTCCAGTTGTTTAAATGCTTATATCGGGCCTTCCGTTCTAATCCTCGATGAAATTGAAAATGCCTCCTTCCGCGTCCATATTGTTTTTGTGTACGTAGTATAAAGTTTCGTTATCTCTTATAATAAGAATAACCTTTTCGAGTTTTGCAATAAATTCTGTTGCTAACTAGATAATTTAAAGTGAAACGTATCCATCCTTTACTTTCTATGGCTTCTAAGTCTTAATTTCATAGATACACGAGTCGAAAAGAAAAACTCTGTTCGCCTTTTCAGTTTCCATGGATCAGGAGATCTATTTATTGGTGTTACGCCTAATCCATATTACTCTTTTATTTATAATCGCGAAATAGTTACTTTGCACTTAAATTCATGTTTACGATGTTGTTTGGGGCCTACGAAGCGAAACACTTATTCCATTCTTCCTCAAATGGTCTCTGTCTATTTTCTCTCCTACACCCTTATATCTTGCTTACATGAACGAGTTCTTATGTTACAGGGAACATTCTTAGTACAATAAATAGTTCTTACCTTCAAACAATTCCTCTTCCTTTGTCAGGTGGGGCGAATCCTTTATCACTGCGGTCTGAGTGAGGATAACGAAATCACCACCGGTCCTCTGCTGAATCCTTTTGTTAGAGAAATGGCCCTGCCGAAAAGAATGAACAGGTCATAACATCCGGAAATATCATTATCACAAGAGTGAATGTAGAATGAATAGATACGTTTCTTCCAAATCTGCACACGGAGCGTATTGGACCAAAATTGCTAGTCTCAGTTATGACCAACGCTAAATGTTTTTGTGTGTGATGAATGTAATATGACGCAAACATTTTCTACCGGGTTTTTTCAGAGACCTGTAACACGCTTTATATTTGACGCAATCATAAGAAAAAAAAGGTGCAAAATTATGTGTTAACTCCGCAATTTATGTGTGTTCACATGCAACAACTCCAAAACCATTTGGAATGGATTATTACGATATTTGACTTGTGTGAGTTGAATTTGTCGACATGTCCAAATTCTGTGAAAATCGGACAATATCGACGTGTTACTCGACTGTGTGACGGTTCCTAATGTTTGTCGCAAAAAAAAAAATTGTTGTCGAACAAACGTTGCAGAGAAACATAAACAAAGATAAGTTTTATCGGTTTTTTGTTTAATTTGAGAAAGGGCTATTTGTGGCGTCGTCTCGTATAACACGGGAACAGCTCGATTGATTCTCTGCGTTCTTCGCCTGCCCTGTAGGCCTAACCAGTTCTTCATATTTCGTAGTACTCACTTTTCCACATAAGCCCTTGTTGCATTGTCCGAACTATTGCATTAACATGTTAAATTAATTTCGCACAGCACAGCATTTCCTTTAAATGTTAATTCTGTCCTCCAAAATTTCCCTTTCACGTCGTATTTTGTGTTACCTTAATGTCAGTGTCATCGTCGATAATTGCATTTTCATTCAAATCAAACTTTAATCAAAATGTATATTAGATTAATTCATTAACTTAGAATCTAACTTACAGTTACTATTATTAATATTATTATTTTCAAATTACAGATTTTTATATGAAGTTCTGTGGTGTTTTATACAAATTTAAAAATTCAAAATTTTGTTTGCAGCTTTCACATTTCACCAGACAGAAATATAAAATTCAATATTTAGCTGAGTGTGAAATATTTTAAAATATTTAGTCCATTCAAAGTTGCGAACTCTAGTTTTGACAGAATTAAGCACTTGCACGTTCAAGGGTCTTGTAGGAAAATACTCTAATTCGTCTTAAGATCGAAAATTAAATAATAATTAGGGATATTCTGTTTTTTGTCATCTCGCGAACTTAAACGATCCATCACGTTATTAATAAAGTCATGTGGTAGGATATTCATTTTAATATTATCATTCGTATGAAGAAATATAGTAAGGTGTGTGACGTATGGAGGCTTTGTGTTTAAACATTATAATTTCGAACTCGATATTATATTGACCATTTGTTCGATACTGTATATTCTGAACTACTTGTAGCATCTTTAAATAAATCATAAATAGGTAACTTAACCAATGAATACATTTAAACGTATTCCCCTCTTGTCACAAGCCAGGAATTCATTTCGATTAACTTCCCCCGAGCCCTAAATGAATTATTACATAAAGACTCTTAAATTATTTTGTCATATTGAATGATCATAATAATTGTTTATACTGACATCCATTTCGTGGTCTAAGTTATTATTACGACGTTTTACTTATGTGTGACTTGTAAAATTTCACTTGTCTTTTTCCGTTGCGTCATTTTATCGTTTTGTAATTAGACCAATTTCATAAATCGTTTAAATCTCTGAAATTCTAATCTTAAAACTGACACGAATTTAAGGTAACTTAAAAATGTTTGCAACTTAACATATTCAGAAACCAAGCTACGTTTTAGGTCATCTGTTCCGGCATTACGCAGGCCTGTGAAATTATTATTCACGACAGCAAAAACTTTCATTTTATTAAAACTCAAAATCAGACGTTTGTTTGTGTTTCGTAATAACACAAAGATGTCGTACTTGTTCTGTGTCTACAAATAATTCATCCCACATTTTCGGTATGCATAGCTCATACTTAACACTACTAAAGTGTTCCTGTAATTTAACCTTGTGTATGCCTGTTATCTGTAGATTACACGTAACATGTTCACAGTGTATTTTGAAAATAATTGATGTGTAAATTGTACGAAATTGTTTTTGGTAGATTGGTTTCGAGATTACATACTATGCTCGTATGTCCCCGTGACCTAATCTACTACATTTTCATATTATGTCTAGGTGTGTGTTCCTCGTCTCACACGTGATGCCTGTTTGTGCATGTCAAGTGCGTAATCAAACTTAGAACACCTCTGTCATAGAAGCCTCTAATCCCCTCCCCCCCCCCCCCCTACTGTTTTCGTATGTATGTGTTGTGTTTGGTCTTGTGAACTGTGATTGGTCATTCACCCTTTGAAGTATGTCTTGTCTGCTTGTAATGCAAGATGTCTTACGTAAAGATAACGGAACAGAGACATCTCTGCTTCTATTCATCAGCCATGAAACCAGTCTCCTTAATTAAAATATAAATCCAAAATATTTAATCACTTCACTTAGAATATACTGATATACGTAGTTTTATAAAATTATCGGTTTTTTATATATTTATCCGTAAGGAAAGCCGGTGAAGATGTCGATGTTAGTTTTCTGTGTTGTGACGCTTTCCGCTCTGAAGATGGAGGCTGTATATTAACCCGAAACAGTGATACCAACTAACGATTCCACGCGGCGGCGACACGACCCAGAAGGCAGACATCGAAAAACAAATATCGATAGCATTTTTTAGTTTACTAAGTGTAAATGTTTTGAGCGAAAGACGAATGGAATTTGTATTTTGAGCTATTCTCATTTCAGATTTAGTAGAGGAATTGTAATTTATTGTATTGCGTATTTTGCTCAAAATATTTGCTGAAGTCTGGGATTATTGTGAACAGAACAACAAACTCGACCTTACAAATTATCGATCTTCACACTTTGGCTCATTGCTCACTGTGAAAGTGTCCTGACGATATGAAGATTACGTCACCTAGGTTTAATATATGCACAAGGAAGTGTTTTCATCTTTACAGTGACGAAATTGTGTTATGAATAAATAAACTACGGAAACTAACAGTTGCATTCGAACTATGAACGTGATCTAGTATCCATGTGAGTTGTTATCTCAAATATTTTCAAAGAAAGAACTTCAGTGCAGGAACTTGTAAAGTATTTCGAGATCAGTAGTTAAATTTTTTCGAAAAAAATAGACGCGTAAATGTATTTATATTTTCTTAATTGATTATACTTTTTATTTCCATTGAAAATATCTTTATATGGATATAATAATTATTAAAGGTTGGTAATTGTGAATATCT